ATTTAGTCTTAAACAGGACAAAGACACAAGGCAAAGACAAATCATATGAACGAGAGAGAACATCAACTTGAGGCCATCGTAACGGTGCCCAAAGGAGCCACAGCCACGTTGCTAAATATAGAGCATGGGGAAAACGAAGTTGTTACGGAATCATGGTTGGCAGCAGAACAATTCATCACTACGGAACAATTCATCACTATGGAAGTGGGAAAGGGACCATGATTGGGATACACCCACTACTGCAGTTTAGGATTGGTTCTGGGGCTCTAGGATCACCTTGGTCTGGATTGTTGTTGTTGTTGTTAAGTGCCGTCGAGTCAGTTCTGACCCATAGCGACCCTGTATAGGGTTTTCAAGGAGCAGCTGGTGAGCTTGAACCGCCAAATTCACATATGGTACCTTAATTTCCAGGCGAGTTCCTGAGAATGAGACTCCCCTTCTCTGGGATGATTGATGTTCCTAAGTGCTGTTGAGTCAGTCTGTGTCATAGAGGGTTTCCAAGGAGCAGCTGCTGACCTTGAACTGCTGACCTTGTGTTTCAAACCGACCTTACAGTCCAACACATTGACCGACAACATCACACCAGGACTCCACAGCAGCATACTGGTTAAGGGAAAGCCTATGGGTCACAGCACAGTATTATCTGAAAGATGACCTCCCCCTATGTTGAAAAGAACTCAAAATACACACTGACCAAAGCAATGGACTCTAGAGTACCAATGACCGTGACATGGCGCAGGACTTGAAAAAGGAATCACTGTGAGTTGGAGCTGACCCAACAGCATCTAACAATAATGGTGTAGAAAGTGGTAGTAATAATATGGCAAATACGTGTGTGGTACTCACTTGTTCAAGTCTGCGTAGTGATCATAGGGCTGGGATAAGAGCCCATGACATGTGCCTCCTGAACCCATTCTCTACCAGTCACTCACTATCTGTAGATTAAACTTAGAAGTTAGAAATAGTTTCGTGGATAAATGGAGTTCTAAATGAAACTAGGAGTCCTGGTGTGGTGCTGTGGGTTTAAATGTGCCAGACTGCAAAGCCATTTGAACTGCAAGGTCGGGCGGTTCAAGCTCACCAGCAACTCCTTGGAAACCCTATACATGGTCGCTATGAGTTGGAACTGACTTGATGGCACTCAACAACAACAACAACAAATTAAACTACAAGCAGCTTTCCAAAACTTGGTTGAGGTGAAGATAAAATCTACGTCAATGTTCAGAAAGATGAATTGGCAGTCATTTTGTGCTTGTGGCTCTGGTCACGTGGATCCACAGACCTGTGGAGGGTTCATTCCTTTTCTTGCTCTTAGAAGACATGGGAAGCACCAAATTGTAGTATATATCAGAACGATGGAGGCTTATGAAACAGGCAGCCTCCTCGTGTATTATTGTTCTTGGTAAGTGCCGTCGAGTCGGTTCCAACTCATAGCAACCGTGTTTAGGGTTTCCCAGAAGCAGTTAGTGGGCTTGAACCAACAAACTTGTGATTAGTACTCAGTGTTTATCCTACAGTGCCATACCAGGACTCCTGGTCTGTTAGTAACAGCTCATATTTATCAAAGGAGACCTGGTGGTGCAAAAGTTAAGTGCTTGGCTGCTAACCCTGACTTGATGGTTCGAACCTACACAGAGGCTCGAGAGAGAAATACCTGGTGATTTGCTCTTAGAATGATTCCAGAAAATAAAGCCCATTGCTGCAGAGTTGATTCTGACCCATAGCGACCCTAGAGCACAGAGTAGAACTGTCTCACAGGGTTTTCAACAGTGGGTTTGGTTTGGGGTTTAATCTTTATGTAAGTACACAGCTGCATCTTTCTCTGGAGGAGTACTTAGCCACTGTGCCACAGGGTTCCTTCTATAAAGATTATTGTTGTTGTTAGGTGCTGTCGAGGGGTCCTGACTCATAGTGACCCTACCTACAACAGAATGAAACACTACAGGTCCTGCCCCAACCTCACAATTGTTGCTATGCTCAAGCCCATTGCCGCGGTCACTGTGCCTGTCCATCTAGTTTCAAGTCTTCCTCTTCTTCACTCACCCTCTGCTTTACCAAGCATGATGTCCTCCTTCTGGCAACGTATCCGAAGCATGAGAGTCTCGTTATCCTGGCTTCTGAGGAGCATTCTGGCAGCACTTCTTCCAACACAGTTTTGTTTGCTCTTCTGGAAGTCCATGATACCTTTACTATTCTTCTCCATCACCAGAACTCAAATGCATCAATTCTTCTGTGGTCTTCCTTATTCATTGCCCAACTTTTACGTGCATATAGTGATATTGAAAATACCAGGCTCACCTTAGTTGTCCAAATGATGCTTTTGCTCTTGATCATTTTAAAGAGGTTTTGTGCAGCTGATTTGCCTATTGTAAATTTCTTGAGTGCTGCTTCCATGAGTGTTGATTGTGGATCTAAGCAATCTTTTCTCCATTTCTTATGATGTCATTTATTGGTCCTGTGGTGAGGATTACTGTCTCCAAAAATTCTATGGGGTCACAAATTGACTCTGCTACTGTTGTTGTTGTTAAGTGCCACTGAGTCAGTTCTGACCCATAATGACTCTCCATAGGGTTTTCAAGGAATAGGTTGTGAATTTGAACTGCCAATCTTGTAGTTCAAATTAACTTTGTGGTCAAGTGCTTATCCTACAGCGCCACCAAACCCACATGTATTGAGCACTTGCTTTGTGCCAGACACCTTTTTATCCACTATCTCATGTACACTTTCCCCAAGTGGAACTCCATTCCTAACAACGGGAACCTCTAAGGTCTTCCTTTTGCGGAATAAGGAAAAAGAAGCAGAGTTACGAAAGTTGCATGGGCTTAACTGATTAATAGATGGCAGTGTCAGTACCCAATCCCAGGATGGTCTGGCTCCAGGACCCTAACTGCAAACCATGCCACCTGTTGCCTTCATTGGGATTAGGGTGGGCGCTGGAAGCCATACCTATAGCAGACACCAGGGAGGACAGTGGTCCAGTGGTCACACTTTAAGAAGGAATACCCTAAGGCATTTTTTTTTCAATTGGTTCAGAGTTAGAGGTGGGTTACTGATCAGCACTGTTGAAAACTCTCCATGTGACACCACCAGGCAGCAGAATGGAGACCCGCTACTGCAAGGCATCTGGACCTCCCAGCTGGTCTTGTTTAGAATTTGGAGAGGAGCTCCCTGGGGTAGAGACACCCTTTGGTAACATCAGGGCTTTGAAGCATGAGCAGAAGAAAGAGAGAGGAGGAAAGAGACAAAAATTAAAACAGCAAATGAGAAAGTTTAGCCAGAGAAATGAGTCTGGACAAGAAGTTCTTATTGGTTTCACATCTTAGCACCCTCCACCTTTCCCATTTTTAATTCTTATTAGAAAATCAAACTCAATGCCATCAAGTCAGGTATAGCTCATCGTGTTTTTGAGGCTGTAAATCTTTATGGGAGCATCAACTGGTGGGTTCGAACTGTCGACCTTGTGGTTAGCAGTCCAGTGCTTATCCTAAAGCACCACCAGGGCCCCTTTTTCTTATGTTGTTGTTGTGTTGTCAAGTCGATTTCAACTGATAGTGACCCCGTATCGGGTTTCTGAGGAATGTCTTGAGGGTTTGAATTGCTGGCCTTGTGGTGAGTAGTCCAGTGCTTATCCTACAGTGCTACATCAGGACTCCTTTCTACTATGGTGGTGGTGGTGGTGGTGGTAGTGTGCGGTGGAGTCGGTTCCGACTCATAGCGACGCTGTACAGGGTTTCCGAGGCTGTAAATCTTTACGGGAGCAGAACGCCTCATCTTTCTCCCGTGGAACAGCTGGTAGTTTCGAACTGCTGACCTTGAGGTTTGCAGCCCGATTGTAACCACTATGCTAGTAATTAATTAACATAAAAATGGAAAGTATTGGAATTTACTAAAACAAAAGTACATAATGATCTATTATCTTACTTGGATCCTGCTTAAGTACAAAGGGGCTTCAAAAAGTTTGTGGAAAAACTCCATTCTCTTTTAATTCCATTCTTCCACAAACATTTTGAAGCCCCTCAAATTCTATTTTGCTTTTTGATAATCTTTCAAAAAGCTCTTGCTTTTTAAGGTTATTAAAAATCCATGTCCTCAACATGGATAAGCCTTGGAAATATTATGCTGAGTGAAATAAGTCGGTTGCAAAAGGGCAAATGTGTCTTACATGAAATAAGCAAATATGTATAAACCAGAGGTAGGAGGGAGCTGGAAAGGGAACTTTTTGTTTGAGGAGGATTGAGTTTGTGTTAATGGTGGTAGAATGTTTTGGAAAAGGTTAGCAATAAAGGTGGTACAACATGAACAATGTAATCAATGTCATTGAACTGTAAATGTGGGAGTTATATTGTTGCACGTTTTGGCACGCTTATTTTTACAATAATAATAATAATCAGCATCTGAAATTTTTATGCTAGGTTTTGGAAGACATAAAATGGAGCTGGTGACCGTGTGTCCACTCCCCACATATGACTTATGCATATGTCTAGTTACACACACACACACACACACACATACACACACACTCAAACACACTCCTGAAGTCCTTCTTGCCTGCTTTTGCTCTGGTAGCGTAGTGGTTATGAATCGGGCTGCGAACCTTAAGGTCAGCGGTTCGAAATTACCAGCTGCTCCGCGGGAGAAAGATGAGGCTTTCTGCTCCTGTAAAGATTTACACCCTCGGAAACCCTGTACAGGGTCGCTATGGGTCGGAACCGACTTGACGGCACTTAACACTCAAAACCAGTAACAGGATTTTACTATTTGTATGTGAAAAATACAAAATAAAATTCTCTGTCTTTCCCATTCCACTGAATTCTAATAAAAAGTGGCTCCAGGAAATTTAAGTCAGGGGCCCCACTGGAGCAAATTACCCTTAGGAAATCATCAATCCCTGGCCACCTGACTCTTCTCCCCTCTTCACCACCCTAGCTCCAAAGTCCTGCCTTCAGTTCCTTCCACCCCTGCCCTGGCCATCTTCCCTCCTCTGCCACGTTGTTTCATCCTCAGTTGTTCTTCTCCCCTGTGGGATGAAGCTGCTGCTCAGGACAAAGGCTGTCCATCCACAGGTAGTAGGTGATAGAAACAGTGGCGGTGAGGCAGGTGAGGCAGGGCAGCAGGAGTAGGGCTGCCAGTTTGTTGATGGGGTGCTAGGTGAGTGTCATGCTCACCACCAGCCTGTAGGGCAGCAGCAGGTGAACAGGGCTTGGGCAGAGGGGCAGGGTAGTCGGGCAGGCTGTGTGGACAACCAGCCCCTAACCTCTGCAGCACCCTTTGTCCCACCAAGAAGCCACGTTGCTGGGACTTTGTGCATGAAGATTGCTCACCTGCTTGCTGACTGCACCTGATGAATCTGCTGTATGATCTGCGTTGGGGGACTTGATGGTTTTACCTTCTCCTCCTAGGGACCTTGCACTACTGAGCATTGTGTGCCTTGCCAGACCAGGGTTGTGGGCCACGACCAAGAGAATCAGGACGGTCCAGCTGATGGTGAGCTGTACAGCATAGAGGCCAAGGGGGAGGGCCCGAGGCCACCTGAAGCCCCCTCCCAGGTCCTTCCACACCAGGTAAGAGGCATAGCTGTGAGAAGAAACTTGGTGGCAGAAATGCTCACATAGAGGGTGTGCTGTGGCAAACCCTGGAAAATGCTCCGGTATAAGTACTTTCAAGGACCAAGATGGGAGCGAGTGGGTCTCGTAGAGAGTTTGAGGACTAGAAGGAGTTGGTGGGAGGAGATGGGCTTGGAGAAATGGGAGAAGAATGGCAAGATTTGGAGAGGGTGGGTAGGGGTAGAGGGAGGCAGGAATAGGCAGCCCAGAGGGGTTTTTGTGAATGTTTTATAGACCTCAGTGGTAAGGAGCCTTGAGCCTCTGGTTGTGGGTTGCCCAGAAGAGGCAGGCTGAGGTGTTGTCCCTTTGGGAGGCAGTAAATGGCAGTAGTTCATATTTAGTGAGACTTAACTCCACAGAGGGCAGAGAGTATGGACAGTCAGGCAGAGTGTCCAGAGAACCCTTTTGTAGCACTCTGTCTCCAAATTGTGGGTACCACAATGGTGTGAGGCATGGAACCATCCTGTGACTGAATAGATGGTTGTCCATACAAGCAACAAAACTTTGTGGGATGGGCACCAGAGTAGCTTCCTCTGGTCCTCACACCAAGCAGGCATTCGATGACAGGCAAACCACCAGACCAAGATGGGCCACAGGTGGGGGAGGCCCACAAAGATGGCCCCTGGAGGCCACATTCTCCTTGAGGAGGCCAAATCTGGGAAGGCAAAGACCATGCTAAGTGGAGTCTTACCCCAGGTCTCCTTCTCTGTCTCCATCTCCACCTCCTGACTCTACTCTCTGGTCTGATTTCCTCACACATGTTAGACCCAACTCTAATTGCTTCTTTGATGTCTCGCTACCTACACCGCCTTGCTTCTTTTCTGGTTTTTGTAAACTTATTTCTTTCACACTACTAATCTGACAATTGGAGGATACTGTCCAATATTGATAACAGTTTCTGAATAAAAGCTTCTGTCCTCTAACATGTGTCTGGCTCCTAGAGGCAGGTCTAGGTGTGACCACTTTTCTACTACCACAACTTGTGGCACTTGGCTGGGTACAGAACAGACAGTCAGTGAGGCCAGTGTCTTACAGTGAACCCAGCTACGCTGCTAGTAAGCAACCTGATCCTGCTGCATTTGGAAGGACCAACTGCTGAAGGCCGGAGTCTGGGGAATCTCTTCTGTGCAACAACGGGGCTGGCCCATCTACCCCAAGCTTATCTCATCGTAGCAGACTGACAAACTAAAGGGGTCTCACCCAGCCTGATCTCCCGCCAAGTTCAAACTGAGCTGAGTGCCTCTGTTGGCTCCTTTCTGGAAGCTTAGCTTTCTTCTTTGTCTGGAGCCTTGGGGGTAGACCAGATTCCCCCTACAACTCCCCACTTACACAGGATCAGGCCCACAAATTCAAGAGGCCAGATTTCTTACTGTCTTAACTCCTTAAGGAAACTAACTAGTCTTTGATTTTAAAAACTTCAAGATATCATTTACATGCTGCTTTGCATGTCATTTGTATGTGGGACAGTGCGACAGTGCACAGACCCTCGCCCCCAACCAATACCAACAACACCCTTCTCAGTAATAGTCTTCTCATTTGCATATATTATTTCAGCCTCCTACTCATGGAGTCTTGGTATGGCACTGTAGGATAAGCACAGGACTGCAAGATTGGTTTGAACCACAAGTTCTGCAGTTCAAACTCACCAGCTGCTCCTCAGAAACACTATGCAAGGTTTTTATGAGTCAGAACTGACTCAATGGCATTTAACAACACCCATGATTGATAGGATTTGAAGGAATGAAACAATCTTCTGGTCATTCTGAGTGTTCTGGAATGCCTGTGTAATTTAGCCTTTCCTGTTAAGCCCTGGAGGTTCTTGGGACAGGACTGAGCAATCCGTTGCGAGCGCATACATCTTTCTATTTGTTTCTATGCTCTTCCTCACTGTCCTTTTGCTCATCTGCTTTCCTGTCTTCTTCTGTTGTTTTCTCTTTTTCTATTCAGTGTTGGAGGTCCCTCCCCCCTCTCCCCCACCCCCCCGCAAACACACACTCTTACCTTCACCATACCTATTGTCCTTCTTCTCTTACCCACCCCTCCCATCAACTTCTTCCTACACCTTGCACTCCCGTTACCTCAGGCAGCACACTTTGCAGATGGTGCCTGATGATATACGATGTGTGGAAGGCAGAGGAGGGTTGGGGGGCAGGAAGGAGGGTGGAGTGGAGCTCCTTCTACACATCATATATCATCAGGCAACTGTTTGCAAGGTGTACCTGGCCTCTGAGGGGGAGTTCCTCTGATGGAACTTGTACTGAGCTGGAGCTTTGGCCCTGGGAGTCTGTGGCTTCGGGAGACAGCTCAGCCCCATGCTGTTAGGTTACTGATGCCTCTGGTCTCTGCATCCATGTGAAACTTCTTTGGGTCCAAAGAGGTGGTGGGGAGTTCTCAGATTTTCCCAGAGTCTTCTTATAACTGGGATCATCTCCAAGTGAAGAGTTCATGACACTTGGGAACAGTTCCTGGTTATAACCTTCTAGTTGGAACGACTCACCCAATCTTGGAACTCTAGCTTGACTGTTTGGAACTCTAGCTTGACTGGTCTTTCACAACCCCCCAGGACTTTATGGCTCAAAGGACAAAATGGCCTTCTGTATGACTCAGACAGAGCTTTGTTCAACAAAGCCTTACACTCCTTCCCCCAGCCTCTTTCCCCCATCCTTACCAAAGTTCTCAGGGACCCTTCCTCGCTCATCCTTCAGGCATGAGGACCCTTCCCCAGAAGCTGGCGGTTTTCCATACACTTCTTTGCCACATCTGCCTACTTTGGGCAATCCAGTTCCCCTGGGAGGTTTTATCTCACCTTCTCACCATCTCCAAGGGGGAGGAAGTAAAGGGCAGGGGGTTACAGTCAGGGACAAGAGGCAAGGGAATCATTAACGGTGACCAAAACAGTGGAAGTTACTTGTTTTTGAAGGGGTATGGGAGATGGTAACTGGGGCTGGGGTTGTTCACCCTGTAGGAGGCAGACTACGGAGATCATCGTGAACATTTATTGAGCACCTATTTTTTCCACTGGGTGCTTTGTATTTATTTGTTGAATAATGATGATGATGATCGTTGACCTGTGTCTGGTAGATATTTATTATCTGCCTTTAGAGACAAGAGAATTAAGGCTCAGGAGTGTGTCAGTTTCTCAATGCTGCTGTAACAAAAAGTACCCCAAGTGGGGATGGTGTTAAAGAACAGAAATTTATTTTCTCACAGTTCTGGAGGCCCAAAGTCCAAACCAGGATCTCAACTGTGTCGATTCTTTCTGTTCACCTCTCTGCGTTTCTGTTGTCTTTGACATTCCTTTCTTGCACTCATGAATGAGTCCCCACATAGTGTCTAACTCCTGCTGTGTGAGGATCCATGCCTACTCTGCTGTTTTTATACAACATTACTCAGAAGTGATACGGTTTAGGACCCACCCTTCTCTAGTATGTCACCATTAACATAACCAAAGAAAACTACTTCCAAACAGGGTCCTATTGACAGGTACAGGGGTTAGGACTTGTACATTTCTTTTGGGGGTTCCTGGTTTAATCTATAACAGAGGGGTTAAGTAAGTTATCCAAGGTTACTTAACCAACAGGTAGGTCACCTGGGCTCAGTGTTGGCAGTCAGGCTCCAAAATGTAAGCTCTTTCTCTTCAGCTGGTCCATTCATTCATCCAACAAGTTCTTATTGAACACCTACTGTGTATCAGACTGAATAGATGGTTGTCCATACAAGCAACAAAACTTTATGGGATGGGCACCAGGCTAGTTTCCTCTGGTCCTCAGGATCTGAAATACAGTATCAAATGTCTGAAGAGAAATATCCTTCTCCACAGGGAGCTGTCATTCTAGTAACTCTATCTGGTCAGAGTGCCTAAGGACCCAGCTAGCAAAAGGCCCCAAAGTTCAGGTCTCTGACAAGTGGCATTCATCATTGTTGTTGTTGTTAGTTATCATCAAGTCGGTTCTGATTTCTAGCTATCCTATGTGCAACATAAGGAGCTCTGGTAGCGTAGTGGTTACGAATTGGGCTGTGAACCGCAAGGTCAGCAGTTTGAAACTACCAGCTGCTCCGCGGGAGAAAGATGAGGCTTTCTGCTCCCATTAAGATTTACAGCCTCGGAAACCCTGTACAGGGTCGCTATGAGTCGGAACCGACTCCACGGCACATAGCAACAACAACAACATGTACAACACGTCATCCTCATAATCATTGCTCTGCTTGAGTTCATTCTTGCAGCAGTGATGTCAGTCTATCTTGTTGAGAGGCTTCCTTCCTCTTTTTCTCTGACCCTCTACTTTACCAAGCATGAAGGTCTTCTCCAAGGACTGGTCCATCCTGATAACATGCCCAAAGTACATGCCAAGTGTGGTGAGTGGAAAGCAAGAGTAGAGAGCAGATACAGATAGGTTCAGGTGCTGCAGGTAACTTGATCTTTGAGTCATTAATCTTCTCAGTACCTGTTTGGAGGGAGGAAGTGAAACTTGGTATTGTGCAAGCTCCCTAAAGCTTTACAGCCTTGGACCCAATACAGGATCTCAATGAATCGGGATCAACTCAACAGCAGCGGGCTGGTATTTGGGTAGACAAAAAGGGCAACATGCGTGTTGCATAACAACTAAATCTTTTTCTCAAAGATAGTGATTCGCAGAGACGCTGATGTGGAGAGATGGAGCAGTTGGGGACTTTAGACCCAGAGAGGGAGAGGGGCTGTGTGCTGACGGACCGGGGGTGGAGGGGCTGTGTGCTGACGGACCGGGGGCAGGCTTTGGTTGGTTGATGATGCATGGAGGGGATTGTAACCATGGCAATGAAATGATATATGATAGAATGAATGTAAAACTAATGTTCTCCCATGTAAACTATCACATAATTCACAATAAAACATTAAAAAAAAAAAGATAGTGGTCCATCATTCTCTTAGAATGTGTGCTACTTTCCACAGATCTGCCGATAATCCAATTTCCTGCATCAGGTGCCTGAAAGGGCTAAGACTCTTCCAAGACTCCCATCCCAGGGTTTTGACTCAAAATTTTTCCCAATCTGGTTTGGTTCCAGATTACTCAAAATTTAAAATCTCAGGTCTGTTCTGGCTTTGTTAGTCATCACTGAGCCAGTTTGAACTAGATCGAAGCTCTGATTTTAATAGCCTCTGGCTGGGGTTGGGGGTGTGGCACTGTAGGATAAGCACTGGACTGCTAACTGCAACATCTGAGGTTCAAACCCACAAGCTGCTTCTTGAAAACCCTATACAGGGTCACTGTGTGTTGGAACCCACTCTGTGGCACTTAACAATAGGCTAGGGTTGGCCACAGACCAGCAGAGGGCACTGTTGGAAGGGGTTTCAAGATGCTGCTTAGGTGCCCAGGCTGTCCTCTGTCTTCTCCCTTTCTCACTTCTGGGATCCCAACACCTCCGCCTTGACTGGACTTTGCCAGCTGACAGGGACAGTCACTTTAGAGCCCTGGGAGGCAGGCCTCTGTGCCGGGAAGTACCAGGCCCCGCCCACTCAAACTCCCCGCCTACCTCTTCTTGTCTGCTGGCCTGGTGACTGGGTCTGGCTGACCTGTCTGGTTCTCAGAGAAGGAACTGCTACTATTCCTGGACAAGTTACCAGTCTTTGGGAGCCCCTAGACGGTAAGACGAGCAG